TAAAATGGAAAAATTTTATTTATTTATAAGTTGGATTTAATCTAGGATAAAATTCTAGGGCCTATATATCTTTTTGATGGATTAAAGTCCACGTAGTTCAAGGTAAATGCATGTCTCTTGGTTGAGAACTTTTAAGAAAAATATTAATTATTAATTTTTTTATAAAATAATTTTAAGGTTGGTTTGTAGTTTTTATTTATGAAAATATTTTATTTCTTTATTTATGAGAAATAATTTTATGGAAAATATTTTGATAGGATTTATGAGAATCTCATATATCCAAAAGTTATCTTTAAAAAATGATTTATTTTATTTTTTTAAGAAATATTTTTATTTATGAATAAAATATTTATCATCCGTGTGATAATTTATCACAGTGTAGGATAAGCTATTTAATTTTTAAATCTACAAGGACTCTAAAAGTTTCACACAACTAATGATATTAAAACTATATACATGCGATGATTTATCACCATGTAGGATAATAAATTAATTAATTTATAAGTTTGCGTCGATTCTAAAAGTCTCATGTAGTCAAAAGAATGTAAAACACTTTTAATAATATACTGTGATAATTTATCATCGTGTATGCATGCGCATGTTACAATCAAATTCCATAATAATAATAATAATTGTCACATAGGATATGCAGAGATTAGAAATTATATTCTATTTAGAAATTCATCAAAGAATCATTAAAATCCAACACTCATATCATATTATTATGGCATATGGCATAAAAGAAGAACAGTTTTAAAGGGTAAGACTCACATGTGAAGACACAAGATGAAGAAGAACAAAATAATAGTTATTGAAAATCATGACCTCACGCACACAATGTTTAAGCACATGAAGACAAAGATTGAAATTTAATTAGATGAGAGATCACGTATAGGAGTTCAAAAAGATTATAGACTCAACCTTTAAGACTCAACTTTATAAAATACTTGATCAATGTAAAAGCTTGGAAGGTAAACATACCTTCAGAAATTTCTATTAAATTTGGTCTTCTATCATCTCTCTCATACAGTTTCTCTGAGTTTTTCTAACTGTTTTTGCACTATCTTTGCTCTCCCTTATATAGACACATATACTTAGGGTTTTTCTAAAATTTCAATCCTATCATGATCAAAATTAATATTTTTATATATTATTATTATTATTATTATTATTAGAGATTGGATATTAATTATTATCTTTCCTATTATTATATCTTGATCATTGTATTCTTTTGAAATCTTCAAATCTTAATATTAGATATTAGATTGTATTATCTTGAAATTTTTAAATCATAATATTATATTATATTGTATTTTGATTATTATATTCAAATTATCATATTAGACTGTGATCTAGCTTGATTATATATATATATATATTCATTATCTTCATATCTAATATCTTTTAACTTTTTATTTATTTGTTGTTATAAAATATTTTTATATTTTCATTTTTATTATTTTCTATTTTTATTAATTTATTATAAATGTTACTTTATTTATTTATTCGGGCCCGAATAAAATTCAGACAGGGGCAGTAAATAATGGTGCTCATTTTGTTCCCAACCCTGCTCTTTCTTTAAAGTTTGGTTTGCACCTTTGACAGCAATGTCCACCGAAGCTTTAATTAATTAATTGAACATTCCCATTATTTATGTTCGTGGTGGTCATTTCCATATATGTTCCGGACAAAGTGCAGGGCGTGATGGAGAAAAGTAAAAACATTTAGTTTTTGCTAAAATATACCTCCTCTTTTAATCTCTGTTATTAAGACGTCTTTTAAAATAATTATTTTATTTTTAATATAAAACATTTCACATTTGATAACAAGTTAATTATATTTTTCAGTATTATTTTTATTTAAAATCATTAACTATATATGAGAGAGAATGCAATACAAATTTAATTTTTTATTTAAATATGAATAAAATTTGAAGTTTATTATATTCTCAAACATAGTTAATGATTTAACCACCTCTCATTACCAGTTTGGTGATTTGAGGTGTCTTATAATAAGTATTAAAGGAAATTTATAGAAAATACATAATATCTCTTAACTTTGTGTCAATTGTCTACAAATTTTGTAGGATTTCAAAGTTAATGATCAACTCCTTTGAATTTGTTTTTTTTTACTAAAAACCCTTGTCGTTGTTATCTCTATTCTTGGTAATTGCCATATTAGATATTTTTGCCATTATTTAGTGTAGTACTTGATGGATATTTTTATCTTCATCTTTTAACTTTATAAAATATCTTTTCAATCCATTAATTTTAACATTGTTAGTTTTATTTCAATAAATTTTTATATTAAATTTTTAAATATCGATAAATATTTTCAAAATTTGACAAATTAAGTTTACTTTCTTTAAAATAATAATAATTGACACAAAAAATAATCATTTAAAATTAACAATGTTAGAGTTAAAGGACTATAGAAAGATATTTTATAAAATTAAAAGATCAAATTAAAACCTTATATAAAGTTAAAAAACTAAAAATATACTTTAGTTATATTTTTATTACCAATCCCTTTGCACGTGGTATAACATGTGGGATCAAACCTCTTACTTAACGAACATTTAGCGCCTCCATTATAGATTAGGGAGTTTTGCACCGTTTTTTTTTTTTTGGATAAAATTTCACCATACTTAAATTAAGGATGCTAGTGGCTCCTTGCAAAATACTTTATCGATATTTTTGCACGTTAAGCCAAAAATTTATAATGGGGGATTTATTGCCTAATGAGGCCATACAATATTTGAACATAGATGCATGGTTGTCATCTAAACCAAGTAAAAATTAGACTTTTTATACTTTTTTTTTGGGTAAGCATAAGATCTAGCTCCACCAATAGTAAAGAATATCTCCCTCAAAATATTGAAAGCAATGAGTATATCTCTCCCACTAAATTGTTACAGGAACAAGAACTGGGTTCAATTCCTCAGTTACTTCCTTAAGTGACAAGAGTATCTACTATTCATGCTACTCACACTAACTTTAGTTGGTTACACGGGTTATTTTTAACCAATATTAAGAGTCACTTATGTAGCAGTGATTACTTAACAAAACTGTATAATCGTTATAATCATGGGCATTATCTCCATGTTAGGATCACTTTACGGATCATTCCTTTCCCTTCTTCATCCAATAATTTAAATGTAAAATAAGTTTATCTTTCAGAAGAAACAAAGATAAAGCATAAAGAAAAAACAAACATTAATAATGGTGATAGAGTTGAAGATCTTTACCTTGCAAGAAGTAATTTGCAAGAATGCAAACTAGAAGCAAGGCGCAAGATACTTTATTTAAATAGAAACAGTTGATGACATACATAGAAACAAAGGCCGCCAAGAGGGACACTGCAGGATTGGTGGTTCACATTCGCATAATACTAATATATTTTTTATTACTATATATTTTCATTTAATGATCTATTGGGGCACTGTTGTTCTATGATGCATTTGTGATGTTAACAAATTTTTTATATAAAAAGTTCTATTTATTTTCATTTTCTACCCACTAAAATCATCCTCAATTCACAAAAAATTTTAAAAAAAATACATATTTACTTTTTCATATTATAGGTCTAAATTATTTTATTTTATAGCTATAAATGCTATTTTTATATTATAATTATCAATTTGAATATTTATTCAATATTATTTTTATTAATTTTTAATATTCCTATCTTAATACGTGGGAATAAAATCTAGTTAATTTTTAAATTAAGTTACCTTGCATCCTTGACTTAAAGCCCTTGCTTGCCACCGCTTATAATTTGTGTTCGCTAGCCAAATATAAAATATTGCAAAAATAATTCATATTTTTATTTCAAAATAGAACTAAAATTTTAAAGCCACAATTACTTTGAATGGGACGTAGATTGTAACTAGACAATACTTGAACACGCGCCCGCTCAATGGGAAAATATGTGGCTGCTTTCAATTCAACTAAGCACCAAGTACATCCAAGGCAAGTTTGATTGAATATTGTTGCCCAACAAATTAAATAAAAATCAAAAGGACATCTTTCTTGTGATTATCATTCTTTAAAGCTTTTACATGCTTTTTTTAAAAAATAAAACTTATATATTTCACCTTATATGTTCAATATACTTTTATCTAATCAAATCAATGTGTATAAATTTTAAAATGTTAATAATTTTAATAATTAGAATTTTTTATAGATTAACTAATTTATAAAGATAAAGATATTTTAATTTAATTGAAACAAATACTTTAAGTATATAATATTAAGTATATATAATTTTTTCCCTTTCTTATGGACAAAGCACTAATCTCATCCCTAATATCAATTACTTTTAATTATTTTATTAAAATTAATAAATGTTAATTGTAATTTGTATCACTAAAATTGTTTAAAAATAGCATTGATTTCTATTTTTATCCTTAATAAATGCCACATATAATTTAAAAAGCATAAATATTCTCCGTCTTTTCACCGAAAATTGACAAAAACAAAAGTTCTTTTGAAGTAAAACTTTTAATGCATGCTCTCGTAAAATGTTCCTAGAAAATAATATGAAACAGTATTATTAGGAATTGGGAGCATCTATCTGGAAACGGTGTAGAAAACAAATGTACAAGAATAGCAGAATTATATCTTATCTTAACTTAAAATTTCGAGATTTAAGTTTATCAATCCTTTTTTTATTTTATATTAATTATTAAATTTAATTTTATTTAATGTAAAACTTGTCACTTTATTTCAAATCCACTTATAGTCTAACAATTTTTACCTCGTGCATGAATCTACAAGCTCCCTGTACATATCAAAGATGCCATAAGCATCAAGTTCCTACTTTGGGGCTAGTTTTATTTTGGGCTTCAAACAATGTATGTGATACACACAAATCCTTGCCGTAGTTAAGGACAGTTTAATTTTAAGAATCAAACTTGTTTACAATAACCATTTTATTTCATAAAATAAAGAACAAAAAAAGATAAAACATAAAAGAAAAACAAACATTAAAAATGATGATAGAGTTGAAGATCAAGACCTTGCAAGCGACCAGTTTGCAAGAATGCAAACTAGAAGCAAGGCACGAGATATACTTTATTTTAATAGATAGAGTTCACATACATATAGAGAAACCAAGGCACACAGAGGCACATAGTAGGGTTTATGGTTCACATTCACATAAGACAATGAGAGCATCAGTTTGCGATTTGAGATTTAACAGAAGAGGAGCATTTATCATCGCAGCCGTAGGTGGTATCAAGGCAACGACACTGTTGAGGAATGGAGAGAGTACAGGCACGGCCCTTACAAGCAGAGTGGCAACTTTGTGTGATATCCAAGCAAACGCATGAAAATGGCTCTGATTCGATGTTGTCGCAGGTGCAGTTGTCGCAGCAGGTATCGGTGGTGGACTTGATCACGTAGTTGGGCTCACCCTTCTCATTCACCATCTCTAATAGCAACGTGTTTGGATCAAACCGACTCTCCACAGTTGCAGCAGCTAAGAAGGCTGTAAGAAACAACACCATCCCTACTTTCAAACGCATCTCTCTCTTTCTCTGTGTTTTACTGTCTTTGTGTGTTGGAGTGGTGAGTGTATTAGATAGTGAGGACTCGCTATTTATAAGCCGTGAGGGATGCAATAATTGATTCTGCCTGGTCCATGAAGTAGGTTAGGAGATATAAACATTAAGAAAGTGGGCCTCACGAGAGTGTAATTAGTTTGATTTATGGAGATCGAAATTTGTTCTTAAAGCTTTGTCAAGAGATTCATTTGATTATAAGTAGATTAGGAGGCACTGGATTGCAGTAATACTTAGGATTTCATATCATCAACGTTTAAAACTTTATGCTTAATTATAAATAAATGAAACAGTAAGTTAAGGGCAAGTTTTATGAAAATGCATTTCAATCATTTCTCAATGAATTTGTGCCAATTTCTCCGGTAACTATTCAATTGAATCAACTATCCCTATAGTACCACTTGAGACACTGAACTATAGAAGGGAGGATCGAGGACACTCACTAGAACCGGATCCAAATTGTAAAAAGGAAACTCTTTATTTATAGCTTATGAATAACAACTTTCATTGTTGATTTCATATTTTACATTGACAAAGATTTATGTGCTAATATAATATAAAGTACATAATCTATATTTGCTGCAATACATACAAAACGCCAAGTTTTTATTTCAATTCAAGATTTTTAAATGAAACAAATTCCAAGTTAGTTAAAGCTCATTTGGAGCTGAGAACATTACTCGTAACTTGTCTGTCTGTTCATTGGGTTCCCTTTTTTTTTTTTAAATTTATTTCAACTACCTAGGTTATCTCTTACAAAGACGTTTAGGTTACGGAGGGAATATATATATATATATATATATTACAAAGAGGTTTCATAAATATCTTAATATAAAAATTATATTTTTATATATACAATATAGATTTTGCGTTTTTTTAGAGCAAAGTATCTCATTCATAAGTTATAAATAATATGTTACGTTTTAAATTTCATATAATATATAGAATATATTAGGGGTGTTCAATCTGGACCCGTCCCGATTGGCCCGGTATCGTCCCGATCATATCGGGATGGGACTTTACGGGACGGGACAGGAAAGGGATTTGGGACGGGACAGAACACGGAATTATTATCGGGACGTCCCGTCTCGTCCCGAATATTATATATATTATTTTTTATTTTAAATATATTAATTATATTAATATAATTTATACTTATATTAATTATATCAATTATAATTTTAATACTTACAATTCTCATTTAAAACTAAAGTGTTTTTATATTGATAATTTTAATGACATGGAGTAAACATGATGATATCTTTTTTATAATATATTAATTATATTAATATAATTTATTCTTATGTCTATCTATTTAATAACTTTTATTTATAACATATTTCTTGCTTATTTTTAGAAGAGTAATTAGCTTAGTACATCTTCACTAAAGTAGAAGAACAATTTTTTGATGTTATGTTTGACTTGCCTGTTGTTACTAATCTTATAGCATAAAGATCACTTATATTTTTTATTATAATATGTAGTTGTGATTAATATAATTCAATAATTAATTTTAAATTATTTTTATTTATGTACTTGTGTTATTTTGATTTTAAACTTAATAAATTATATAATTTAAAATTTTAATAAACATTATTATTCAGATCTTTTTTCGATATTATTTCATTTATTGGGACGGCGGGACGTCCCGATCTTGTCCTGATCCCGTCCCGACTCTTAACGGGACAGGACGACTTTTGGGATGGGACGGGACACGGGATCAAAATTCAGTCCTGATTTTTTTTCGGGACGGGACACGAGACGGGTGTGTCCCAATCCCGTCCCATCCCGTGAACACCCCTAGAATATACCTATTAAGTATTTAATTAACTAAATAATGTAATATTCATAAATAGAGAAAAGGAAAATATACTTAAAAACTAGAAAGACTAATTGTTTATAGATAAAAATGTCAAATTTCTGAAATAAAAAAATAGAGTGTATAATCATGTAGTTGGCAATTAATGAGACGACTGTGCCAACACACTGCATTGGCCACGTTCTTGACACTAACTTGAACAATGACACTTCTAATACTATACGTACCCATCCTATTTTATTTATTGGACAAAATTTTAAAATTTTATTTGACTTTGAATACGGTAAAGAGAGTACGTATGTAATAGTTATCTCTTTTTTTTTTTTTATTGCTCCTCTTTAATCTATCATAATGATGTTCTAACACATCATCACCTGCCTTCTTCTGAAAAGTGTGGGTTTGGTTATCAAGTAATAGAATTACTGCCTCATTGCTTCATCACCACTCGCCCGTTCTCAAGAGCAGTATGGTAGGGCTGTCTTTCTGTCATATCAAATTTTTTTGCATTCGGTGAAAATTTAAATGGGCTTTTCTTTCTTCTTAAACATCTCATGGAAAGAAAACTGAATGATGAACTTATTAGATCTATTCTAATCCTTAAAACTTATGGCAAACAAGAAATTGCACTATTCACAACAGCACTAGAGGTTGCTTGATGAAGGCAATGTGGGTAAGCCATCTTTATTAATTATGCCCAATCTGGTTATCTTTGATGAAAATGGAATGAAACTACATTACATGAAACTCAAGGTAATTATTAAGCCATCTTTATACCAGTTAAAAATTAGACTTTTTATATCAGTGAAATTTTTCAAGTAAGCATAAGAAGTAGATTCTGCTAATAACAGAGAACGTCTCCCCCAAAATATTCAGCCACTTACTTAAGCGACAAAAATATTTATCATTCATGCCAACTTTAGTTGATTATACCGTTATTTTTAATCAATATTAAACGTAACTTCTGTAGTAGTGATTACTTAACAAAACTATATAATTATATTAATCATGGGCATTTTCTCCATCTCCATTTAAGAGCCACTTTGCGGATTATTCATTTCCCTTCTTCATCCAATAATTTTATCTGAGCAATAGCATGAATATGGCTCTGACATGATGGTGCAGTTGTCGCAGCAGGCATCGGTGGTGCACTCGATCACTTAGTTGGGGGAGGGTTCATCCTTCTCATTCACCATCTCTGACAGCAAAGTCTTTGGATCAAACCAACTCTCCACAGTTGCAGCAGCCAAGAAGGCCATCAGAAACAACACCGTACCTGCTTTCAAACCCATCTTCTTTATCGATCTCTCTGTTTTACTGTCTTTACTTTGTGTGTTCGAGCGTCGAGGTTTTAACGTGAAGACTCGCTATTTATAAGCCGTGCTAACAAGGCAGTGGCTTCTAATGTGTCTTTTAATAAAGTCCTTTCTAATGTCCGTTTTTGATCCTGACTTTTTCTTTCTCTGTTTTTTTTTATTTTTATTAACTTCTACATAAAATAAGAGATATTTTGATATATTAAAATTTTGGAATGGTAGGGTTTTATTTTTGAAAAAAAAAATTCACTTTGAAAACCATATAAAAAATGCATTCACATTAAAATTTTCACAAGCAAGCAGGGCTTGCACAAAAAATTTTACCAAACTCAAGAAAAAATTTTCATTCATAACTTGATTGAAAGAGTACATAAGGGGGTTTTTTTATAGACAAGACAATAAAAGACTTTAGAATCCCTAACTCTAGATGACTCCCTTCATAATGGCGTCATCTCCTCAAAAAGAAAGATTCTTTATTTTTTGGAGATTCAACAATAATTGCTAGATAAGAGAATTCAAAAACTTTCTTAATAACTAAAGTCTTGCTTGCTAAGTCAAATCATCTAATAAAATCATAATAATGAAAAAAAATTAGCATTAATAAAGCTGAAAATCAAAAACGAAAACAATTAAGTCTTAAAATTTAAACTTAGAACAAAATAAGAAACAATTCAAATTCGCATTGAAGACTTGAAAATGATAGAGATCAGGCCTTCTCTCTCCTCATTCATGATCATAAATGGTGCCTTCTCATCTTCAAATCAAACCATAAATGACATCCCATTCTTAATCAAAATAACCCTTAAGCTTATTTAACATATGGTGAATTAAATAGGCTTAGGTCTTCACCAATTGGACCTATATTTTCATGAACTTAAATCTTTAATGTTGTAAGCAAGTGTCGACCTTTGTCATTGGGCTTGTTGGACATATGAAGCTCATTAAAGAACATGAGCTCAAGCTCTCGGACTTCTTTAATGAGATCAATTTGGGCCTCTCTCATAACTTTAGTTTGAGCCCTAGTCATTAAACCTCTTATGCTTTGCAGTGGATCCTTGGGCACATTAGGCTTGAATTCTTAGACTCTCTTTGGGCTTGGCACGCCTACTAACTCCTCTTGAGCCTTAATCACGTACTTTTTTTTTATTATGTTGGCCATGCTCTATGTGTGGTCTATCATATTATTTATAACATTAGTTGAAAGTTTAAGAAAGTAAGTTGTAAATCGCAACCAAATTAATAAAAAATAATTTATTATAAATAAAAATTATAGTCTATTATTGATATTTTAATAATTTAAAATTTATAATTGTTATTAATGTTTTTATAAAATCCTTAATTATCATATTTCCCATTAAGCTAGAAAAAAGAGAACTCAGTTGATTGAAGAAAGATGCGATGGACATTGGCTCCCAGTCGATAATTGCATGAAGAAAAGTAAATGACAAACAGTGGTCCAGGGTCTATTTCCTGACAAAGAATCTTCTTCGTACACTTGTTTCGGATATTATAATATTAAAAAAAATTAAAATTATTTATATTTCCTTATCATAGGATCATCTAAAACGCCTATTTCCTATTCTATGTAGGTTTTAAAATTAAAAAGAAGGTTTTATAATTCTGAAAAATTATTGGGATATGTGTTATTAGTTTTTATTTTAAGGGACGTTTGTGTGAATTTCAAAATTATATAAAGAGATGAAGTACGTAAAAATTGTATATAGTGTTCACGTATCGTATGCGTTATCAATTCATTCTATCTCTATCTATCTTCTTACACATATACACTTTCACCACAAAAAATAAAGTACATAAATTTTTGTGGAAAAATGTAAAACACAAAATACTTGTCTTTAATGATGT